TTTTCTTTTTTCCCCAAGAATCTAAAGGATTCAAATCAGGTGATCGGGCTGGCCACGGTATTGTACCAGACCGCCTTATCCATCTGTCTGGAAAGTTTTGATCGAGATACTCTCTCTATGTTAGAAAGTCACAGGATATTTATACCATTTGGAATCCTTATTAAATGCGTCAACTTTCAAGGTTACTTTCCAAACTCTCGTAGTACATTTTTTCCGGTACAGGTTAAAGTTGAGCAAAGTTTTATTTTGGAATACTTGGTTGGGAAATAAGTGGCAATTTTTCCTGAACGAGAAAAGTTGGCAGTAAGGTTGAGACACCAGTTTGAAGTTGCATTATTCATCATTACATTGTAAAAATAAAATCCAAAAAAAGTTAATATTTGTAGTAACAGGAGTTGACAGACTTCCGTAGGGTGTGAAATTTCTATATCTTTTTCAAAGACCTATAATTTTCAAAACACTTGGTCACACTTAAAAATTCACTGCAGTGAGAACACTGCACGTATTGTTGTGAAACTTTGAGTTTAAGTTTACTAAAGCTTGAGGTTTCTATATGCAAAACTTAAAAGACATCCCTCGTACATTAACTGTGAGTTGCATATACGAGGGTTATTTCAAATGTAGGCCTCCTGTATAGAACGCGATTGACATTGATTGTTTTAGTGATAACTGTGGCTGCTTCACGATCGCGCCGCTCCCGTACTACGATTTTATTCTTTTTTCCAGATTTTATTGATAGTTTTAAACGCCGCGCTGTTCGTGATGTCTTTGTATGACATGTTCTTCGCGAGAAGGGAAGGAGGAGATCCGACCACTGTCTCCGTTCCTGTGGTTGGAGCAACGTATGGAAATCCTGGATACAGGGACCCCAGGACAAACGGTAAGACTAACCTGTTTCATATTTAAAAATGACGTCGAGTAGGTCGACTCTGTAATTGTGAACAAATCGACTTTGTATATGCATCATATTTGAGTCAACCTTTTTATGCTCTTGTTTGCTGGCAATGAACATTCTGGTTCAATGGCACGAGGCCATCTTGTAGAATAAATATCAGTGGAAAAAAGAAGCATTGTTGATTTGGCAGAAATTGAAATTATGATTATTATACAAGGTAAAAAATATTTAGCGCCAAAATTATTCCGAAAGATTTAAAAGATTTACATTTCTGAGATTATTTAATTTTTTTTTCAAGTACATTCTACATCTAGAATTGAAATTCATAATCTACTGTGTCTAACTTTTGCCCTTTTCTGCAATTTGTGTTCCACAGTTACAACTTAAAATTGTGTACAGCCAATTTGTCCTATTGGTACTGTTTTTAATTTACATTTACTTGCTCATGTTGTTTGTTCTCTTCATAAATTCCTTTTGTTTTTTTTTATTCTTGAAAACCATCTCATTTTAGCGCAATCTTAACTTTTCTCGGCGTTCGCCAAATTAAATTATCTGGGTAGTTTTTGGAGACAGAAAAACAAAGATTGGTGACCGCTGAGGGAAACGAGAAAGAAGTTTTTCACGAGTCTTGTGGTTGCAAAAAATATAAAACTCGCCAAGTGCCATAGAGATACGCTGCGCCGCTACTCAGGGCTCCCAATAGAGTACTAAATACTTAATGAAATTTCGAAGTACGCTAGAATGGGATACAAACGTTCACTCTTTGGTTTTCTGTTATTTGGAAGTCTGAAGCTGTCCGGTGCTTAGCGTGTCGAGTTCTTTTTTCAGCAGGATGTTCATCAACAGTCCCTATTTATACGGAGTTCTTTCTAATTTCCGTTTTGGTGGCAACAGAGATACTTTTTCATCATTCACAAAAGCAAAGAGAACGAGAGAAAATGTACTGCTCAAAATCGATCAAAATAATAATAAAGGTGGTGTTTTTATTTGAAGTAGGAATATAGAGCCTCCCAGTGATTTCAGCAAAAAACTTACATCATATACTTTTACGTTTTTCAAGGCAAATGTTACATTTTGTCACTCGTTGAAGAACGAAACTCCTTTTTCCAACCAAAACTCCCAAACAACTTGGAAATCTACAAAAATATTAAAACCTCTTATACAGGGTGTTTCAGTTTATTGTTGCATAACTTTAAGATTCGATAGAACTTTTAAAATTAATGCATAAAGTCTATATAAACATGGGTCGAAAAATGCGTGGCTTCCGAAATACAGGGTGTTTAAATTAACTTTCTAAACAAATTAATATTCTGTTTTTTTGTGTTTATTTGGAGTTAGAAACTATTGCTGTGTTTAAAAACACAATCTAAACGATCATCTTAATTACTTGTAATGCCCAAATCGAAAATGTAAAAAAAAATATTATTTTCCCATAAATAATTAAAAATGCATCGAACCTTAAAAACCGAAATATCTCAAAAACGGCTAACTATAACGAAAACTCACAAGAGAGCTTTTTTATGTTGAAGAGTGCGAAGAATCAGTATTTTTATTCAAAAAGCAAAAAATTGCACCAAAAAAAATTTTTCGGTCATTTTAATACACCACAGGTACAGTAGAAAGCGCCCTCTAGCGGCTACAGTAAAACTATGCCCATGGTTCGTTTTGTCGTACCAAAAAACCCTTGTATACCAATTTTCGCTGTTATACATCAAATATTGTTCGAAATATTTAAAAAAACTATTTTAGAAAGTAAATTTAAGCACCCTGTATTTCGGAAGCCACGCATTTTTCGACCATGTTTATATAGACTTTATGCATTAATTTTAAAAGTTCTATCGAATCTTAAAGTTATGCAACAATAAACTGAAACACCCTGTATTATTTTAATCATACGTTCTGGCGTTTCCTTTTGGCCTATGCATTCAAGATGAAGGCCTAATTAGTATAAAATATCCACCAGATCGTTACCAGAGATGCACACAGTTTCGAACCGGGCATCTAACGGTAATGAGCGGTTCAAGAGTTGTTGGTTGCTCTTAAATGTTGCATGATTAATTCGTTAGCCAGTGGAGAGTAAAAGTAACGTCCGTCGTCGACAGAAAGACGTAACGGTAACGACTTTATTTTTTCTAACTGTAAAGGTAACGAAGCGGTGGTACTTCGTGGAATAAGGCGACTCCGAAAGCTCGTATACAGGGTGGTCTGAGATAAGTTAAAAGGCGATCTCGTCGAAGCAGTATTGAGCTAAAGTATCCTTAAAAATACCACCTCCAGAAAGTATGTATGGACAGATATTGAACTCTTCTGAATGACCTTGCAAGGAACAAGGGTATATCAGTAAAAAGTAACATCAAATTCTAACAATAATAAAATACTCGGCGAACATTACTTGTCGTGAAACCAAGGAAGTATTCTTAATAATGTTTTTAAAATAATTATAATGAGTTGTATGATACCAAATAAGTTGACACCTTTACAATGGATTGATAAAATAGATTAAACCAACCAGAATATCGTTCTTATGGGTCTGTTTCTTGTAATGCCAAAATGTTGAAGGTTGCGTTCAAAATCTACAAATCAGTAAATATTGAGATGGTAAAATATATCAGATCTAAAGACGTGTTCCCTAGATGTTACTTATAAGGCCTTAGCACCCCAACAAGGCAACAAATATCTGTTTTACTCAGTACCAAAGCAAACACTCTCATGTCAAATCATAGTAAAAAAATATCTCATGTCCTTGACAACTCAAGTTTTGCTGCTAGCTCATATTATATTTTTAACGTCGACGACCGCAGCCCACAAAGCGAAGGACCGTATTGACAACATAACGACGCGAAGGTCTCTCTCTTTAGTCAGGCATCACGAGGAACCGGGCTTAGGCCGCATATCGGGCCCTGACGCATCATTACACTTCCTAAGCTTCAAGCACCGCCCTTCTAGCAAAGTTGAGTATTTTTTTTTTATACTCCAACTACCACGAAGGCCTAAGACCTAAGCACCCATTGGGTACCGTGGGGCTATAGGGGGATACATGGGAAAGGGGGGACGCCACACGGACTCTGGCGAGGGAACACGTGTGCATGCAACATGCACACATTCTGGCTGCGCCTACGAGAACCGCCGGGTGGTACCTCCGCGTTCGACAGTCAGAGACCATCTACCACCTACGGACAATCACAACATCCATGGCGAAGACGAGATTCGAACTCGCGGCCCGGCCGGCCGGCTGATCAGTAGCACGACACTCTGACCCACGCGGCCAACCGAGGTCCCGGAGTATGGTCTTGATTTCCAGTTCCTTAACGTTCTGGAGGTCCAAAGTGATGGACCCCAATATAGTTTTCCTGTAGCAGCTCAGAAATTCACAGCGACATAGAACATCCGCCGAGGAATCTTCCTCATCCTTGCAGTGCTCGCACAACGACAAGAAAAAGCGTCCATCATTAACGCTGGGCCCCACGATGAGTACCTGTGCCTGTCGGAGATGTCTAGAGATACTTCTCCATTATCCTCCTGACTTTTTGCGTGGGCACCCCTAGCGCTGGTTCAGGACCAACGAGCTTGCCCGATGATCCTGCTTTCGCGAGGACGCCCGCCATATCATTACCGCACCCACACTAACGACACCGTATGCCTCGCTGCAAAACAATCCAGAGCCTCCCCGCTTTGCAATACAAGGCTCGAGGTAATCTTGCCTTCATCGCAGCCTGGCTGTCCGAGAAGATTGTTATTCTATTCCTGTGCCCTTCCCCTTCCAGAATGTGGATAAGCAATCCAGAATCGCATAGAATCACGCCTGGACGATAGCGGTGAATCCGCCGAGAAGCAGAGAACGCCCAAAGACCCCGGCACTCTTCAGTAACCGAGCAGTCCGTGTACCAGACTTGCTCACTTTCTTCTTCCTGAATTCCACTCCATTGTCGCCGCATAGTCCAGATTAAGCTTGCGGTTATCATCGATACTTAGGGGTGATCAGGTCACCCCTGCTCAAAAGGACGGGATCCTCTCTTTGCAATTCGATGGATGTTATTTACTATCCTTTCATGGTCCACCCACCTTAAACAGTGTCCAATATGGCAAAGCAACATTGTGTTATATTTTCAGGTACCGGGGGAGTCTCAATGACAGACGCCAGCGGCAAGCCGTACGCTTCAAACGGCAGCATGGGATCCATGGCGACCATATCCACCACAGTGGGTTCCACCAATGGTTCGTCGGCATGGGGAAGCGCTGGAACCACGAGGTCGCCGTTGAGGTCCAGTTTGAAGAAACCCAGACCGAGAGACGCGGGAGGAACCAGTGCTGGTGGAGCTGCTGGCGGGTTGGGGATACAAAACCCCGGGTTCTCCGGTACATCGCCCACTATGGGTAGGAACGGTAGCATGAAGAAAGTGCGGATACAGACGCAGAGCACCGAGGTTTAGGGATTTTTTTTATCGATTCTTTCTAACAACTAGTTTCTGACGACTTTTCAGTGTTAGGCGGTGCAGGAACCACGATGATTCGTTGAGATCTAGCTTAGGGTCGCGCGAGGTCTAGTGTTGGGGGGTCTTCAGATGGGTTGGGGTCATAGAACCCTGGGTTCTCGCCTACTAAAAGAAAGTAGAAGTACATGTATAGAAGAAGGATACAGTGCTCAGCGGGAATTTGGTTCTAAAGCGGTCTTTTCAGCAAGATGTTCGTGACAGTTCCCCACACGGGTTCCACCATCACTTACTAACAATTAGTTTTTGACAGCATCACCAACGGCTTGTCGATGTAAGGCGATGCAGGCACCAAAAAAAAAAGACCGACGGACTCAAGAGGAGATGGTTTTGAGGGACCTTCTGGAGGATTGTGTACGCGGAGCTCTGGGTTCTCGCCTATCAAAAGAAAGAAGAACTGCATGTATTGGAGAAGGTACAGATACAGGTGAAGAACACAGAGGTGCAGTGTTCAGTGGGAATTTGGTTCTGAAGTGGTCCCCCTGACTAGAAGCTCCTGGTAGCTCCATCGACACTTCGTCATCTTGTGACAACTTATCTGCCACAAGGTTCCCGTTGAGGTATAGTCTGGGAGAGAAAGAACCAGCAGTGTGGGAACTACTGGCGGTTAGAGTTCTCGGAACCTTATCAAGTATGGCGAATAGTGGAGTATGAAGAAGGAACCTTGGTTCTTAATGCTTCTTCCGTACAATCAGACGTCGCATTTTTAATCGGGTGAGTTACCATAACTCAGTTCAGAATGAGACAGTCCAGGAACAAGGAGGTCTCCGTTGAAGTCCAGTCTACAGAAAATTGGACCAGGAGACTTGGAAGGAACTAGCGGTGACGGAACTGCAAGAGGCTAAACATATAGAAGATCTGTAAAGTTGCTGTTCAGGCGAACCCGCGGTATTCAGAAACTTTTTGTTGGAAATAATCTTTATGCATTTCCATAAGGTTGCTGGTAAGGTGTGTCTATTATTGAAGCTTCCTGAAGCTTACCTTAAGCTTGTCAAAAATCAACTCGAATTTGTAAAATGAGATTGATAAATATTAAACATTCCGTCCTGTACCATATGTAGATATTATGTGAACCATAAAATGCCTGATTATTTATAACCAAGGCTAAAGTGAGAATGTGTAGGTTCTAGTTGTCAATAGTTAAAAGTGAGGTTGACAAATATACGTACTAAAAGATATGTTTATAGCGACCAGAGCATTTACTACTGAAACTGATACCGTCCATAAATTTTATTTATTATAACTTACGCCAAAGGTATACAGACTATAAAAAGTAAATTCACTCAAAAACAAAATGTTTTTTCCGTACATTTTATTGCTCGTACTGACGTACCCTAGCTTCCTCGAAACCGGGGAAACAGACGTATGGACAGATTAAAGACAACCGCTAATCGCTGAGTGAACTTACTACTTCTGCTCTGTATACTTTGCTGAGCCAGCTGATACATAGTATTCTTTATGTACTGCTATTGTATGCTGATCTATTGTTTTTGATATAAGATATGATATTCGGGACCTGAACAAGTACTATTTCTCCTGTTAAACAGGACTGTATTTGAGTTGCATTCCAAATATTCCAATGTACTGTCCAGTCAAATTAGGAAATCAGTTGAACATGCAACAAGGCTGGCAACTCAAGGAAACACGTATCCTGTACTGCAAGGTCTATCGACTGCAGCCTTTTCCGTCCAAAAAAAATATATATATATAACATAACTTGAGTCGTGGTCATTTTCATCTAGACCAGTTAGGTGAAAAATAAAGCTTCCACCTCAGTTTGGATACTTCGACAAAATTCAAGCAATAAGGACTCTTTATACTTTATTAGTCTCTAGCTTTCAGTGGACTTTGCCATCATCATCAGGAGCTACAATAACATTGAGAAGGAACTATCAATTATTGTGCAAAATGATTTTAAATTACTTACAATAGTATGTGAAATCGTGGCTGAATGTTATTAAGGATATGTTGAGGGAAACATTTAGTAACCTGGTGAAAGCTGGATACATGGTAGATTCGTATTTTATACTAGTTTTAACGAATGTACCATGTATTCACCCTTCACCAGGCTACTAAATGTTTCCCTCAACCTGACCGTTAATAACATTGAGCAACAATCTCACATACTATTGTAAGTAATTAAAATCATTTTGCACAATAGTGTCATTGCAGCTCCTGATGATGATGGCAAAGTCCATTGAAGTTAGAGACTAATGAAGTATAAAGAGTCCTCAGTGAGTTAGTTAATTGCCTTAACTGTTAGGAGAAGATATCCTTTAATTTCTTTGGGTGGAAGGCAAAGTATTGCAAAAGTACACTCTTATAACTTAAACTCTCAAGCTTTCGAAGATCTGTGTCTTCATCGTCTGGAGCTGGAAACAATTATTGACAATAGCAACAAATAACAGACGATGAAGGCATATATCTTCGAAAGTTTGAGACTTTAAGTTATAAGAGTGTACTTTTGCAATACTTGCCTTCTACCCAAAGAAATTAAAGGATATATAATAAAAAAATTGAGATTAAATTTTGCTGGCTCTTGAATAACAGTAGTCTATATACAGTTTCAAGCAATCATTTGGATATGAATTGAAGTGACACAAATTTAACCGGACTATTGTTATATTGTATGTAAGGAAGCGTCATTGAACGAGATGAATTCAGCATTAATTAGTGTCTTTAATTCCGTAATTATGTGACCTTGAGCGGAATATAAACGTATACTCTGTGTGTGCATGTTGTAAAATGGAATAAATAAATGGGTGTGGCTTGATACCGTGCATAGGGTATAGTTGTTGATGAAAAATAAGCAAACATATTCAGTACGGATAATTTCAACAGCAACAATGCAGACATTTTGGTTTGAAATTGAATTGCAGCCACCGCTGTTTTGTGCTCATCTACAACTCATCAGTGCGGTATAGGTCTTGGATCTTGTCGTAGACAAGGACAAAACTGAAAGCAAATAAGTAAATTTGCCTTTTTAAATACTCAAAATATTGTCCGCGAGTACCTATTTTGATTACATACACCATTTTTTTTTGTCAACGGAATTACTGATTCCGAATTACACAGAAAAATTTGCGAGGAGTCTGAACTTCTTCCGTAACTACGCCATTTTGACAATTGGGATGACTTGTAAAAAATTGTGCTGACAGTTTAGAGAAGCTCGTGTATCATAAAAAGTCTTTTTTTACAGGAACAGGTTGAAGTCTAAAAAAATGGTTCTTTTCTGATATTTTAAAGATCCTTGTACACGCCACGCCATAGTTTTTTATCTTTTCTGTTTGTTTGTTGAAGACTTATTTAGCATCAATGCTACAATGTCCAATTTTGTATAATTTTCGTATACACATTTTTTTTAATCGATTTTGTTTAATTTTATATTCCTGTCTATTCACTATTCATTTTGAGTATTCATAACGTGATTATTTAATATCATACTAAACATTTTTAATTTCGTTACTCGGCGCTTTAAGAGCGAGTGCGAACCGAAGATAAAAAACTGTAAATCTTCGCGTATCGCCTGAACGATTTGCGCCGTCGTTCTGTCATTTCTCGACATATCGACTCGGGATCAGTCGCATTAGGTGGCCAAATGATGGGCCTTTCGTCTTTTCCAGGTCCGCTTTTGATCCGCACCTTAGTTTTTTTAATTAGAAATTTTCAAAGAAAACAACCTGAAAAATGACTAATTTTCGGCAAAAAGTCGATAACTTCTCTACGACAAAGAGAAATGAAATTTCACGTAGCCCATTTTGTACATGTCGATGCATACTATAAATTACCAAGAAACAGTTTTATGCGTTTAGGGCACCCGTTTTGATTAAAAATTTTTCAAACGTAGGACGATTGTCCTTTTTCGTGTCTCAAGCGTGCTGTTCGATATTCTGTTTCTATCTCCTCCGAAGATAACGGAGCTACGGACCTAACGATTTTTCCATCAGAAAGCCCAGACATCCGAGATTTGGAACGCGTTTTTTTCTATCCCTTTAATCCCTTCCGTTCAAAAGTTTCGATTCAATTAATGCAAATACTCCCTTTTGAGGTACAGATTTGCTACTTATGTATTTTTGTCTCTTGGTTCCGCTCCGTATCGCACTTGATTTCAAAAATAATATAATCCAATACATGTGACAGTGACAGTTTGCTATTGTTTTTTTTTTCTGACAAAATACAATCTTCTTTAACACCCTAGAAACGAAGCTTTTTAAGACACATGTTTATACCTATGAACTTTTCTACTGGAATTCGGCTTATGAATGTGCTCTTGTGATTACAAGTTACACCCTGAATATTACAAATTCTTTATACATGAAAATAACGAATTTATTATATAATATAATCGCGTTTCAAAAGCATCACTTATCGACTGTATCGGTGAGGAGGTGCAACACTTGTAAATGTTTTCAAGTGGTACTGAGATTGTCACACCCTCTAACACGCCAAGCTTACAGAATAATATACAAGTCTATCGAATGTCCCAAATACTCGGCAGTCGCTTATATTTTTTATAAAAGGCTCCAAAAATGTTTCAGACTTAAAAAAAAGGAAATTATCGTTAATCACAAAGATGACCTAGATATTAACCTCAAGAGGTTTCTTGTGGTAAAGTTTGGAAATTTAAATAGCACATTTATATAGCAATTTTTTTTATTTATCTAGGACACGCCTGGGATCATCGATAAATTACTTTTTTTCAGAAAAATGATTGGTTGTCAAGCTGTTTTGGTGTTCGTGTACTTTTCTAATTATTGGCTCTGGTAGCTATTTTCCAACTTATACATTATTCTATGAGCTTTGCATTTTTATATACAGGTTGTTCATTTGAAAACCTCCCACCACGGAATCATCGAAAACCACTGATTAAAAGAAAAAACCCCATTTCACACTCTGCCCCCAGGGTCGTCCCATTGAAAATTTTAAAAGACAATGAAATCGAGTAGTAGCTTGTTTGAAAGGTCTTTCAAAGTTCTTTATTTTTATGTTAGTTTTTTAAAATCGGTTGATTCGTTTTGAAGAAAATTGTTTAGATAGAAAACAAAAACACACGAAAATATCACTTTTTATTTCAACTAGTGTTCAAAATGTTGCCCGTTAGCGTTTGCCACATCTACAATTCGACACAAAAAGTGATGTTTTTCGTGTGTTTTAGTTTAATAACATAAATAAGATCTAATTTTCTCGAAAACGAATAGACCGATTTTAAAAAATAAAACGTCAAACTATTACTCGACGCCTCTTGTCATTTAAAATTTTCAAGAGAATGGCCCTGGAGGGTGGAAGGGGGTGAAGTCGTTTTTGGTTAAAAAGTCACCCTTGACAAATCTTTTAACGTGTTTCGGCGTTTTCTCATTTAATCAGTGGTTTTTGATGAATCCGTGGTGGGAGGTTTCAAATAAACACCCTGTATGTTGTATGATATTATATGTTTAAAATTGTATTATATTCGTCGGAATTTTTATTATATGGTTCTGCAACAAATACATTACTTAAAGCTTACTTATTTCCGTCCAATAGCGGTAAGAAAATTTTGTTTTATTGATTTTGTACAACAAAAGCAAAATTGTAAATACTTTTTTATTTACAGTTTTTGAACTGCAGAGGTACGTAACTATCAATATTATTTAGAGTACAAAAGTTTCATTCAACTCTTATTTTATACGTAATTTTCTCTGCGTTTGAATACGTAACCATACCTTAACGGTGAACGGTATTTTTTCGAAAAAAAATATCCAATTAATACCTCTAAAAGAGTGCCTTTTTGAAAATAAATCCATGACACGGGGCCTAAAAATCATGAACTTTTTTTTGTTTGGTGACGTGGACGATATTCTAGTTCTTCAAAATTTTATGTTTGAAGAACTAGAAATACGTATGCCATTAATCAAAATTATTGTGTTACGTTATGTGAATTTTCGAGTATTAAAATTAGGCATCTATTGTTACATTTATTTGTGTAAATAATCAGAAGTATATATTGATATTTTTTATATTATGTTAATATGATTATTTTTATTGAAAATTTATCTTATAGGGTTTTGTAATTTTATTCATGTTGACATATCTTGTGATAATAAACAGTAAACAAAGAAACTTTGGGTTTTCTCTTACTCACGCCCTCTCATTTCGGTAACCAACATCTACTGGTATGCCGACGGACTTTGCTCGTTTTTGCTGCTGCTTAATCCGATATTTCGAACTCTGTTCAGCACATAATAACCGTAACTTGTACCCGGATAATTGTGATAGTCAAATAACGAAACACGTGTGTTCCAAACTTAATTCGAATCGGACTATCGGTAACAAAAATGTCTAAAAGCACTTAAGCATAGAAGTAAATCATGTCCAAACGACCTATTCTGAGTCTAATATATGTGGTACTTCCATGTCCACGGAATGATGGGATACCCTGTATATCAGACATACAATGTCTAGACCCTTCATTTTTCAAATTATGGTGAATGAGTCCGTTGAAAATATGGTGAATTCGTACGTGTGTTTTGAAATTATGGTGAATGAGCTCGACATTATATTGTTGAAAATATGGTGGATGTACTCCTATATTTGTGTTGGAAATAAGGTGGATTTTTAAATTTCAGGTGAATGGGCTTGGTATGATCTTGCTAAAAATAAAGGTGGATGTACCTACTGCATTCCTGTTGAAAATATGGCGAAATGTCTACTACAACGTTACGTCGTGACAAACAGAGATCTTCATTTATGTTTTTGCTGCTGCTTAATCCGATTATTTCGAACTCTGTTCAGCACATAATAACCGTAACTTGTACTTGTTTGAAAGGATTTTATTTCACGTAGCTCCATGAAATAAAAAATCCGCGAAAACAGACGCGTGTCCAAATAAATATTTTAAGGATTTACCGGTACGTGCAATGCGTAGCTAGAGCTGCATTTAGGCAGTAAAAAAATCAATACAACGTGTAAATAAAAAACTGCACTTCGTTTTTCGGATTTCTATTGGCTATTGGAAAAGAAATAAAAATAACTGAGTGTACATTTTTATTTATACAATATTTTACACACTTCATATGGCTTCGTCGCCGTTATTGATTCTGAACACATAAAAAAACGTACGATTATTTATATAAAAATATAAGATCGATATGTGTATATACATTTTTCGCGCATGATACTACATCATAGTCCAGTAAGACTAGAAACAAAACTTCAACGAAGTTATATTGACACACCGTAATTTTATCCAATTTCACTGTACTATAACCAGGTCCGCTCATTTGGTCGGCACACTTGAAATCAGTTCTCTTCGCTTGTATACTGGACCAGCTTGTGCGTTACCAACTTTTCCGGGCCTTTGCACTGAGCAGTCGTCGATTCAAGATATTCCGAATCTGGAATATGGGTCGTCTGATGCCTGGAATCCGTGTACCGTCGCTTCACGTACTTCTTCTTGTCCCTATCACTCGAAGTACTCGTGGACGAGGGTACCAGCAGGCGCAGCCTTCGGTTTCCCAGGATCCGTCTTGGAGATCTTCTCGAAATCTGCCGTCCTGGATTTCATCACAGCACTTCCAATACTGCTTATGCTAGTGTTGATTCTGGGCTCCCTTTCCGGCATCGGGAAACCCATGTGGGTCTTCTTGTATCCAGAATCGCTCGAGCTCGTCTGGATCCTCTGAAGCACTGAAGATGCTTCGCTCGCGATATTGCTCACTCTGGGAGCCCTGGATACACCTTTTTGGACGTGCGCTTCATCAGACTTAGTGGTACCATCCCTTGAAGCCCTAGACATACTCTTTGGACATGCGCTTCATCAGACGTGGTGGTACCATCCCTTGAAGCCCTGGACATACCTCTTTGTACATGTGCTTCATCAGAAGTGGTGGTCTTGCCTTAGACCTCTTTGGGCGTGCGACTCATCGGTTACGTAACCTGCACTGGTGGAGGTGCTATCTCTTGGCGCCTTGGATATCCCTCTTTGAGCATGTGACTCATCAGGAATATAGTTTGCGGTAGTGGTAGTACTGTCAGGAGATGTAGGTGGACTACAAGCCCACGATGGTGGGCTATGTATGCCTCCGGTATCCACGACGCTTGATATCGACGAAGGAGTGTTCTGGATTGAACTCGAACACGCTGTAGACGAGCCAATGGCCGAGTCGTACCCGTGGATCAAAGAGATAGAGCCTGTGATAGGCTGGATGGAGGCTATCGAAGATTCGCTGCCTGTCGAGTAGTTCCTTGTACGTCTCGGTGGTACCGCAGGAGCTTGCTTCACAGTATCGTCCTCGATGTAAGGAATGTCTTCGTTGTCGACTGTGTAAGAAGCAACCTGCAAAAAATAAACGATATTTGTTATAAGAGTACGCAATTTCCATAGAACACTCTGTGTATCCATACTATTCATATAACTTTTCTCCAGAGAACGTCTGTAACAACTTTCTTCTCAAAGAACTAACCTGTGGATGGACTGGTATGGTGAGACTGGCTTTGACAATGTTGTCTGCTGTGTAAGATCCCCGTCTCTCTTTCACATCACAGGGTCGGATTTGGGTGATGTCAGAGTCCGTATGTGCGGAGCAACTGCTTTCCAGAGACGAAGACCTGTTTTTGCTATGGTGATCATCTTTCTGGCCTCGGAACAAGGATATGATTGTCATGGCAGAAGATGTCAGGGGGCTGTCTTCTTGTTTTTCCTTCCTCCTGGCGCTTCGTTCCTTTATCCTGTCTCTATGCCTGGAAGGGGGAAAAATTATGTGAAACACCCTTCAAGTACATTGCCAAGATATCTGGGAAAGCATTAGAGAAAAATAGCTTAGACAGAAAATATTCAAAGGGCAGTAAAAGGTACTATTCTGACATGTGCCTGTAGATGTACGATTGACGCTTGGCTGAAAGAATATGGAAGGTAAATAGAAAGGACAGAGAATTTAAAGAAGATGAGAAAGAAAAGGTTACAAATGGGTCTTTACACTGTAAGAGGATTTGTCAGGACGTACCTCATCCTCATCCTAGGACCAGTCGCAGTAGCTTCGTGAAGGAACTCTTCCCTGGAATAAGTTTTCTTCTGCTCAGTCAGCTTGTTGTCTTCCAAGTTGCATTCCCCTAATTGGGTGTCAAATGTCAGCGATACTGGACTCCAAGGTGCTGAGCTTGTTTCACTCTCTAGCTCATCCAAAGATCTGAAGTGAAGACAAATACAGAATAGCTTGGAGATCTCTCAGACACTAGCTTTTTACTCCAGGGATTTACCGTTGGAACGTGTAAGTCACGTCACTAGTAAAGTAACCGAATTTTACAAGCATGCAAGTTGGCTGTCAATCTACTTATATCATCAATTGTACAAAACGTGACACCTTTAGTGCTTTAGTCTTGCATAACAACTTGCTTGGCAATCAAAACTTACGATACATGTGTATGCCAGCCTTTACTAAAAAAGATCTGCTTATTGTTAAACGGTCTACGGGATGTCCCAGTCTGAACATAGAAGTACCACGTCCGTTAGATGGTGTCAAAGTTTTCTTAAAAAAATAAGTTCAAGTATAGACCCTTGAGGCACACCCGTAAGCGTGTCGCAAAAGTCTCGCGCAAAACGAGATTGTCTACTTTGTGATGCTTTTCTCACGAGTGCATTCATTATATCATTGCTTCAAACTGCAATGAAAATATTTCATTTTAGAAATGGAAGAAATCTCTGTATTGCAGCAGCGTTATTTTGGAATAGATATCTAATTTGCGCGCTTGCACATTCGCCATATTTTCAAAAGGAATGAAGGAGGTACACCCACAATATTTTTAACAAGGTAATACCAAGCCCATTCACCATAATTTTAAAAACGATCTATTGTTTGCGTTGCGCATTCACCATATTTTCAACGCAAAGATAGGACGGACTTCCACCTTAATTTAAAAAATGAGGCATCCAGGGTTTGCATCATAGATATTCAAGATTCCTTGGACATGAGGTATGTAAAAGTGCTTCGTCTGTCCGTTAGAGGATGGCCAAAATTTCTTTTTAAAACGCATCCTTTAAGATATTCCAAGAACGGATAAACCGATTTGAATGAAATTTGGAACATGTTTTGCTAAACTACTAATGTTTGACTTTTATGGAAAACTCTATAAGGTTTGAGAGATAGAGAGAATTACCCCCACCTCAACATATATTATAACAAAACTTCCCCTATGACTGTGATTTTTATCATTTAGCAGATCTCCTTATTTACTTCGTTCATTGTATCATATAAGAACAAGCCATCTCGCCTAGTATCCGAGAAAAAAAATGAGTTGCATCAGAAGGTTCCCAATTAGCGAGAATAAACAGGTATGATAATGCTTATTACAATTTTATTCAATATTGCGAATCTATCAAAACGGGGGTTGAATATGACCACCATTTTCGTTCCTGCACATGACAATACGTCACAAAAAAATTTAGCACTTAATGCAATAGGAAAATCTTTCAGAAACCAGCTCCAAAGAACATTTTCTTCTCGAAAACTATGCGAGTTTACCTGTTTTATAAGAAACAAAAAAAGGAGTAAACAAATGTATATTTTAAAGAAGATCAGGGGAGTTGCGAAAAAATCTGCTATAATTTATGTAGCATAATTCTAGAACCCCTTCGGATAATTTGTGATAGTCAAATAACGAAACACATGTGTTCCAAACTTAATTCGAATCGGACTATCGGTAACAAAAATGCCTAAAAGCACTTAAGCATAGAAGTAAATCATGTCCAAATGACCTATTCTGAGTCTAAATATATGTGGTACTTCCATGTCCACGGAATCATGGGATACCCTGTATACCAGGCATACAATGCTTAGATCCTTCATTTTTCAAATTATGGTGAATGAGTCCGTTGTGATCACGTTGAAAATATGGCGAATTCGTAAGCACGTTTTGAAATTATGGTGAATGAGCTCGACATGATATTGAGGAAAATATGGTGGATGTACTTCCTATCTTTGTATTGGAAATAAGGTGGATGTGCAACGCAAATAATAGATCGTTTTTAAATTTCTGGTGAATGAGCTTGGTATGATCTTGTTAAAAATATGGTGGATGTACCTACTGCATTCCTGTTGAAAATATGGCGAGATGTCTACTACAACGTTACGTCGTGACAAAACAGAGATCTTCATTTATAGAATGTAATGTTTTCCTTGCAGTCTGTAGCAATGATGTGAGATTGTGAGAAAAGGGTCACAAAGTAGACAACCTCGTTTCGCGCGTGGACTTTTGTAGCACGCTTATGGGTGTGCCTCACGGCTCTACACTTGGCCCTACTTTTTTCCGACGCCCTCTAACGATCGACTTATTTTCAGTCTAAGAATACGCGGTATACGCTGCGTAATGTCGCAACTTTGAGAACGCCCTGTGCAGTACTTGGAGATTAAAATTTGTGTTGAGTGCTTACTCGTCAGCGGCTGCCGCCGCGTCCTTCTTGGTCAACAGCTGATCGAGAACCTCCGGATGCGAATCCATCATATGTACGTACACCTCGTCCAGCAACTCAGCAGAAACGTTGAAGATGGCTTTGTAATGGTCGATCAACGTCCTGACGATGTTAATGATGTCGATTCTGTCTTCAGGGCGGTCTGAAGATCCCTCTTTGGCGCCCGGTTTGATGCAATGGAGAATGTTCGGCGCGAACACCGTTGCCAGGTTGTTGGAGTCCATTTTGTTGCCGGTTACTGGGTTACCTGGAAGAAGTAGACGATATATACAAAATTGACGTTGAAGGGCACCTTGGATTCGTAGTAAGCACTTTAAAATTGTTTAGATCCTATGTATCAGTGAGGTAGCGAATAATGGGCTCAAGTCCGAAGCCTACCCAGCTCTACCCGGTGTTCCCCAGGGGTCTAAATTGGGACCACTTTTATTTCCATTGATCATTAGTGACCTCTGTGAAAGTTGGTAAATGTTTTCAAGTATGTTTTGCTGACGACATGAACATATATTCGTCTGTAAGGGATGTTTATGATTGATTGAATTTACTGATAGAGGTGAATAGTATGCGGACTTGGTACGATGTCAATAGTTTGCCTCTAAATACCAACAAGTGCAAGGTTGTTAGTTGTAGTGGGAAAAAGCCTTAATATTTTCAACTACAGAACTATAATATTGATGCAATTCTTTCGTGATGCCCTTTATTTCAATGATAAAACTATAGACAAAAAATACTCCTGAAATATTCAAGGCTCTTCAGCTTCAATAATGTTAGGCCTCACTTCACTCTTAGGAGTATAATTTCCAAAGAACCAAAAATTAAAATCCATATTTTTCTCCCTAACTTAAAGAATGATGGTCACTTTTACCTCCTATTTCAACCGCTACAGTTTTATTTTCCAATTAAAATTAGCCTATTTCCGTCTTCAGGGTCTAGTCTATGTCTACGTCGAAATTAATCGAAATAGTTCAGCCGTTTTGACGTGAAAACTGAACATACAAACATACATCCACACTTTCGCGTTTATAATATTAGCAGGGATTGATAGATCCCTTCAGTAATTAGACATCGCATATCCATCACAACCGATGATATCCCGTTTCCAATCAATCTCACGAGCTCCATCACACGTTTGGCATGTTGTCGATATGCATAGCACATACTCAGTCGAAATGTGGACGGATTTGAAACCCACTGGACCTAACGGGGCAGACACTAACTAACACTTCATGTTGACTTATTGCCCATATATTTGTAGACTGAACAGTATGTCGATTTGTCATTTTAACAATACATTTTGCCAATACACGTACCCTGCAATACGTTAGAAACAGAAG